ATAGTCAAAGCTATTAGCCAATAGTCAATGCTATTATCACCGTAGTAGATATCATTACATTCTGAATTCATTAATTAAAAATTAAAATTTTGCCCCACCCCCAACAAAAAGTATACTAGTTAGACACATGTATACTCTATAAACAAATAACTTTATTTTAGGTTCATGTCATAGTTTGGACTGCCTTCAAACCAAATCAAATGTGCTTTATTAATTAAGTACAAGTACCTGGGGACCAAGCTTTGCTCGGGAGAAATCATTAGTTTACTCTGAAAGCAGTCTTAGTATTGCAGATACATTATTCCATTCCCAAACTCCACACTGCTCGCCTTTACTACTTCCTTCACCACTCCCTACGTCGTGTGGACCAGTATCCCTCCCTTCCCATTGCATTTTAGGATTGTAGATTCATTAATGTAATTGCCACAGACAGTTCCCACACTCTGCACTGCTAGCCTTACTACTGTACTTCCTTCACCATTTCCTACTTCATGGACCTGTTTCCTTCTCTTCTCATAGCATTTAAGTATTACAGATACATTAATCTAACTTCCAGAAACGGTTCCCACTCTGCGATGCTAAACTTTACTACTTCCTACGTCGTGGACCTGTTTTCATCTCTTTCCATAGCGTTTTAGTATTTTATATACATTAATCTAATTGCCACAAATATTCCACACACTCCGCACTGCTCGTCTTTACTACTTCCTCTTTCCCTCCCTTCCCATAGCATTTTAAGATTGCAGATACCTTAATCTAATCGTCATAAACAGTTCACACACTCCGGACTGCTCTCCTTTTTTATCCTTTTCTACTTCCTACACCACTTACTACGTCACGGACCTGTTTCCTTCCCTTCCCATAGCATTTTAGGAATGTAGATACTTTAATCTGATCGTCATAAACAGTTCCCACACTTCGGATAGCTCGCCTTGACTACGGTAGTTCCTTCATCACTTCCTACGTCACGGACCTGTTTCCCTCCCTTTCCATAGCATTTTATGATTGCAAATACCTTAATATAATTGTCATAAATAGATCCCACACTCGGACAGCTCGCCTTTACTACTTCCTTCACGACTTCCTACGTTGTGGATCTGTTTCCTTCCCTTCCCATAGCATTTTAGGATTGCAGATACCTTAATCTAATAGTCATAAACAAATCCCACACTCCGCACTGCTAGCCTTTACTACAAAATATCGAGTAATCTTCTGTAATCTTTGCTCAATAGTAACAAGTAATGATTTTCCTTTTGTACTGTATTTTGTAATTTGCTATTATACTGTGGGTAGATGGCTTATTACGAACACATGTTACAACTTACAAGTCTTTTGTTTACTTTTTCCTTGTTATTTAATTCAACCAACATGGTTACTTAGCAACCCATGAGACTAATGTTAAAAAAATGTGACTTTCAGTTTCATTTTTCTACGTAATTAGATTTTTGTTGGCAGTTCTAACTGCAGTAAACTCGTTTTTAGGTCAGAACTAAACTACTCACAACATTTGAAGAAAATCGTCGAAGCCGTTTCCGAAATCTTTGTGCAAACATACATACATACAAGCAAACATTGCTCATATTTAGAGTATAGGATTTTGTACACTGGATGGCGTCAACTAATCTATTTTAAATTACTAATACAGAGTCAACAATAATGAAAATAATCATAACTAAATCATTGCTAAATCAAATGCTACAAGGGGAAGTGGAGAAGTACTCCTCCGAGGAATAAGGCTTTCTCTACCAAATAAAGTTTAAGCTTTCTTGTGAAATTCTTATTGCTTTGTTCATTTTTAATTTTACTAGGAAGATGCTTAAGAAATTCTTATCCAATATATAGGATGGCTTTTTGATAGAATTTTAATATATTATGTTTATTTGAAACAAGGAATTTTTTATGGCGAGTGTGTTGTATTATTAATTTGTCTCAGAGGTGCTCAAAGTGATTTTTTGCTAGAATGATTGTGTGTTAAATATATTGGCAATAAACAGTTAAAATTTTCAGTTCTTTGAATTTGTTTTTGTCTTTTTGTTGTGTTCTAATTTCATCATTATTCTGCTTGCTATTTTTTTAAGTTTAAGTATCCTATCCTTCGCTCTACAACATTTGTCCCAGTAAGTATGGCTCATCACTTGGGCTTTTGGGGAGCGTGCTGGCATAGTGGTTAGAGCGCGGGACTTCAGTCCCTGAGGTCCCGGGTTCGATCCCTGACAAGTCACCAATGGATTTTATCTAAGTGATAATGCCGCAACCCCCAGTTCTAGCCTGAAGTAATGTGAAAAACTATCCCAGGCTCGTGCCTAGCGTCCTAGGACAAAAAAAAAAATCACTTGGGCTTAAAGTGTGACTCTTTTCAACCCAAGCCCAAGCTTCACTGAAAATTAGCAAGGGTTGAAAAGATAGTATTTGCCTGTGTGATGAACTACGGTATAATGCAACATATTATTTAACAAACTAAATTAGAAAGCGAAAATACTTTTCACAAAAAGTTAAACTCTCAAAACAACTTTCAATTTGTTTTTAATTTTACTAATGCAAAGAAGCTGTTTTGTAAGTGATCCAATCATTTCTGTTATGATTGAGTTAGTGTACATTATAGTATGGATATGTCGAACTATTGACAAGAACGCAACAATGAGCTACAACCAATGTAACCAATCGTTACATAATTTCGATACACAATCAAATTTTTCTTAAAATCAAAGTTTACAATAGATTTTATGACAGTGGACTTTTACTCCCTGGGGAGTAAAGGGCTACTTTAGACCACAAAGTGTGTATCTAAAACTGCTGTTTATGCTGCAGTAGCCTATGACGAAAAACATTTTCAGTAAATAGGACAGATAGTTTTCAGTAGAGGGCTTAACAGTAATTGAGCCTGCAAGCACTCCTTATCTAACACCCCAAGCAAGTTAAACCATTGCCTAAGCTTTTTTTGTATATAAAGTATGGAACGAGGGTGTCTAGTAAAACATTTCACAGATAACGGCCGCTGAATGTTTAAACAGGCATCTTTTAATGAAATATGTAAAGTCAATCGCACCTTTAAGAGGAATACCACAAAAAAAAAAACTTGTTAAAAAGAGATAAAAGAGGTATGGTAAAAAGAGTAGTAGTTTCTATTTTAATATTGATCAGAATCAGAAACAAATCTAGGGTTAAGTTTTTTCAATGGGGTGCCTTTACACTAATTTTGTTAAACCTTTACAAAGGGAATGTAAAATAAGGAATAATAACTGGGTCAGGGTGCTAATTTAGCAGTTTTTACGAATAACTAAGCTTATCTCAACACACAGTTTATGCCTTTTTTATATTTTACAAAGTCAATAATCAGAGAAGCCTTTTATTATCATTAACCATAAGACCAAAGCTATACCTTAGTAAACCAGAGTGTATTCACAAACAATGATATGTTTACATAGTTAAACCTCTGGAATGATTCAAATTATTTATTGAAAATAACACCAACAAAAACAAGCAAAACTACTGTTTTTTGTACACAAAAGATATGGTGTACAGGGATATCTATCCTCACATATAGATTATATATTTTATTTTGAGTTTGTTTAAATATTATAATAGTTTGTTTTACATTTGAGCTTTTTAGGGACTTATGTCGCTACAAACCACTAGTTATCTTTTAAATCAAGTATTTTGATCCGTCGGTGACTTTTTACAAAATTAAGCAGTATTGTTATTATGTAATTTTCATTTCTAAAAAAACGTTAATAAAAGTAATTGGTTTTAAATTTAGACAAAAATGTTCTGTAATTGTTATTTTTGGTTAAGATTGAATTGACAATTTCACCGGTTTAATAGGTTTGCTATGTATAAATCTTTTTATGTGACAATAAAGGAATAAAGTGAACTTGAATTTAACAGTGTTTATGAAAAAAATGTGTGTCTGAATGTTGAGTGAAACAACACTATATGCTTCAAGACATATATAAGTGTATGTGAAAATACTTTTGATTGTAACATATTCACATTATGATCGAAGCATGGCCAGAGTTACGAGTAAATTTTCATTTTAAATAAACCACCTACTATTTTTAGTTGTAAATAAAAATATGAAACTGCTTAAAATAACAACTAAAAAAAAACCAAACAAAAAATGTATAATATTAATTTAGACTTACCAGTATATGAAAGTACATGGTTAGAAATATCAATCTAAAGTACTGAATGGTATCCACTGAATTCTGATAAAGAACTACAAGGTAATGTTACAAATCAGCAGAAAAATGAGGCCGCTACAGGTATGTGCTGAGTAGCTGTTACCTGCCGGCACCATAACTTACATCTGATTAGAGCCAAGTTAAAGTGTCTGGTACTTTTTGAATTTTTCAATCAAAATAAAGTTTTTTTTAGTATCATCGATGTCAAATCAACACAAATTACAACATATATATTTTTTTGTAAAAGGTCCTTGTTGTTTGTTTATTGGATATTGGGTTTTTTGTGTTATAAAGGATTCAGTCAATCACTTTTGTGATTCGTTATCAAAATGTTTACCAAAGATTACAATAAATATTAATGACATGATCAACTATTTTAGCTAATGATGGAAAACATAATTATGTTATTGCCTTTGTGGTTCATAGCTTTAGCCTTTGACTATTGATACAACTAAGTTTACTAATAGTTTAACTATAGCTTATTCAATGCTATCTAGCACAACAATCATATAGAATATAGAAAAGTCTAATTACAGTGTTACATCAAAACTATATAAATCAATTTGTACCCCGAATACAGAACATAGAAACAATTACATATAATTTACTCAAGATATTGTAGCCTAGAAGATTTCCTACAAAATAATTTTAACATCATAGTAAACATTTTAGAAACAACTTGTCATGCAATTTTATTGCAATCCTTTCTTGCTTGTAAAGCACTTTTAAATATCACCAAACTGAAAATTACTCTTCACTATGAACTACAATTCAAGAAAAACCAAAATGAAAAATATGAAGGAAAAATAAAACTAACAATTAACACAAAAACAAATTTATTTCTTTAAAATAATTCTGTGGTGAATCAAAAACATAAAAATATAACTGTAGAGTAGAACCAACTCATTCATAGCATGAAACGCTACTGAGTACAAATATGATCGTCCTAAAAACCCTGAAGGTTCTACTAAAACAATGAAATCGCAACAATAAATATACACATATTAAAGTTTACATTATTATACATGTGGTACAGTACGGTATTATATAAACTAAAAATTCGGATCTTCAATGAAAAATATAGCATCTTTGATATTATATAAATTGTCTGATGTTTTATGTGCTGGTTTGGACAAGTTAAAGTACTAGTACAACAAATTGTATTCCAGCTATTATAAAGATACCTAAAACATCAGATGAGGTTATAATTTTAATAAATTATCATTTTAATTTGGTTAATGTAAAAGATACCTCTATAGTTATGAGAAAGACGTGGCTTTTATTTGTATGGTTCTTATTTGTTATTCCTCAATTTAGGAAGAAGAAACATCATGCAGCTAACTTGGCAGTCAAGCCAAAGCATGGGGTGGTTAAAGTTTAATAAATCATATAAATATGTAGAATATTTGGCAATAGACAAAATAACAGTAGGCCTATTACTACAGCAAAATAATGAAATTTCATCTTCACTAAGAACTATTTATAACACCCTTATTCATCGGAATACCGCGATGCTCTAAACCCAAAGAATTTATGAACAAAAATAATTTAAAAAACATAGCTTAGGCTTTGGTAAAAACTAAAAATGCCAGTTGGAGATTAGGATTCTCAAGCGGTTTGATGTATCTTACTATGCCTCAATCACTACTCCGTTACCTCCCCTCACCATCCTTTGTTATCGTTTTGACTCACTGTGCCACTTTATGAACAATAGTAAATAATTGGAAATTATTAGCATGGGTGATTTTTGTTATATTATTTGTAGCAGTGAACGTGTTAGAAAAGTTGAATAGTAGAGGGATTAACATGGACACAATACTCAAAATAGTGAAGCATGGTTAGTTTAAATCAAAATAAAACCTCACAAACTCATAAATTAGCAGGTAAATTGGTAGGTTTGTAAACAAATACATTGCACTATATACTGAACTTTTAAATATCTGTCAAAATGAAGTTAAATATATAGACTACACCAAACGGTGCAAATTGTACTTATACAAATACAAAATGAGTAAAAAATTACAAAAAGGTGAAAATAGTACAAGATTTACAGAAATATAAAACGCAGCACACAAAACATCAAAACAAGTTTATAGTAAATAATTAAATGACAAAAAATGCAACAATTGGCACTATTCTAATTTGTTACAAGTCCTCATATCTGTAAAATGATACCTAGCGATATTTCAGACGAACTAAAAATTAAATACAGTCCTCATAAAATAGAATAAATAATGAAAATGTCATTTGAAGATAAACTATAAAGCTCAGCTGGATGAGAATATCACACTGGTTGTTGATGAGTTATGTGGTAGCTGTAGCGGTTGTCACTGAACTAAGTCTCACACAGCAATCAGAACTCGGATTCCCCAGGTCGATCTGAAATCAGACACATACAGGATACAACATCAACAGGTCAAATTATTTACATTTACTTACAATATAAGATAACATGAATATAAATTTAATTTATAATAGTATAGAGCCAGAAAAAATATGGCAACATATTTTAGAGATTAGATGATTGTTTCTAATTCTTAATTATATATAATTTTAAAAATTACTATAATTTTAGCGAATTTCTCTATTTAAGCATTAGTAGTAGTGTTTAGAATATATGTCACCAATAACAAATCACTTGAACCTTTTTGGGTAAAATAGTACAGAGGTAAGAAAAGTTATGTTCAGCGATATGAATCAGTATCTTTAAACATTCTCTGTTGAAACAACTTAACCAGCGTAATTATTGTTGTGATAACAAATGAGTCAAATTTCTGTAAATTTTAAATAAACTCTTTAGTGCCTATTACTACTAATCAAAGAACTTTTAAAAATTGGCCAAAATATATAGTTCTTGCAGAATTTACGTTCCCTCGGTTATATTTTTAAAGATATTAGTGGGAGAAAAGATTGTGCCAAAGATGGTACGTAGGTACTTGGTACTTATATCGGTGCTCAATTTGTTATGACTTATCAAATCAAACTTGCGATTTCCAGGAGGTACTGAGTAGGATTGGAGGTACTAACTATATCATATAGTTTTGATCCTCATATATTGCAGTTATTAATTACCGTACTCATCTTATTTAACACATTTTTTAATCTACGTAATCATTTTCAGAGATGGAGTCATATGGTAACACCAAAGAGTGTGTTATCTAGTATGGAAGGCTTAAGCAATTCTCGATTAAATTAAACGAGTAAAATAAAATTTAGAGAAGATACGGAACTACAGGGATAAAGGAACAAGAACTAAAGACCATGATAGTCTAAGACTTCTCTAAGAAATAAACCATCTTCATGCTTTATGGTATACTATAAGTATAAAATTACAAATAGGTAAATCTACTTGTTTAATACTGACTGTAATTTAAAACTCAATAATTTTTGTTGTAGCTATCTATTTACTAAAAACTTTTACTACTTGAATAACGAATCCCAAACAATAATAAGATTTTAATTTCAATTTTGAGCTTAATTGTCATCTATGTAAAAATACTAAGTGTTATGAACTACCTTAGATCCTAGAAGTTGAATTTAAATGAGGGGTAACAGCCTAGTCTGGATATAGTTGAATTCCAAGTCTAGATGAGTTTCAAATTTATAAATGAAAAATAAAGTATGAGCCTAATTATTAAAATAGAAAACTTACTTTAGTCAGAAAAATATTGGGTTTAACTCAAAGATTAGGAAACCATGCAGAAGTTGATTAGTTACAATCATCTCCAAAAATAAAGTACCAGAACTCTTGATAAAAACAATAATTTAGTATGCATTTTAAACTTTTAAAAATCTAATAACAAAATCATGCAGACATTGACTTTGGAATACAAAGAATTATGATGTGCAGAAACAGTTTCATACTATTAAATAAACATAAACAAAAATGATTTGAATACTTTTCTATCTGATGCACACCTGGTCATTGATTAGATTTTCTAGATTAGAAATAAGCATAGACAAAAATAATTAAATATAGACTGTCAGCCGTGCTGCGGTTACCATGGTTGTCATAGGTTCCGGCGCACACCGCTGTAGTTTACGTAGCGTGTACGCCGTAACTACATGGCGCTCCAAGCGGTGTGCGCCAGAACCTATGGTAACCGCAGCACAGCTGACAGTCTATATAGAATTTTTTTTTGTCTATGAAATAAGTATAGTTTAATCAGCTCCAATTATGAAATTACAAATTAGCAATAGTACTTTTTGATCACACCTGCAACTAAAAGTTGTGCAAACTTATAGAGTTAAAAAGTTATCTCATTATACATTCACCATTGTAAAAAATCATAATTTTGTGTGGAAATTGCCCGAGTTATTAGTTTTAATAATTTGGAATGTTCTTAAAATATTTTTCTCTTAACTTCATTTTTTTCTTTTATCCAACACTTGGTTTTTGTTATTTTAGCCAATTTCCCTATAGGGAAGTAGCTATTAGGTCTCATGGTAAGACTTGAGCCCGGGACAATCCCAGAGGCCAAAAACACTATTCATACAAATTTTTATACATGTGTCCGCGAACTTAAGTAATTTTTGTTCGATTTTGATGCAATTTGGTTTGAAGGCGTAAGGTGGGATAAACTTGAATGAGTTTGTGAACTAGCATTGGACGATGGGAACGGGGTAAAATGTTGTGGTTTGCTTGTTTATGGATATATTTTTTATAAAAAATGTCAAATTTATTTATTTTATAACCAAGCTATTATTTACTTATTATTATTTTACTAAAACACACACTTTATTAGCCTCCGTATAGCAGCAAACCTGAGGACTCGTTTAACCTATTTTTTTAAATAGGATATAATTGTACACCAATTCAGGCAAATGGAAATTTGCTAAATCTGCAGGTTTGCTGTGGCAAAAGTATTTTTTTTTTTTAAAGTTGCTTGGAATTTGGTTAAAGCATAATGTTTTTACAGAAAAAATATTACATTCGCCATATATAATCAAGTGCCAGGAAAAATATATTCTTCTGTTGGGTAATTAAAGTTTAAACCATAATCTTTGTTCTTTTAGCGAACTTCCCATATAAGGAATAAGATTACCGTAGTTACTCATGGTAAGACCTGGACCTGGGACCAATCTACTATTTTGTATTGAGGTCCTTAGAGCCCAAAAACATAATCTGATCGAATTCATTTATATATTCATATATATACGTCCGTTAGCACGATAACTCGAGCAAAAATGATCCGATTTTGATGAAATTTGGTACAAACGTGTAAACCTACATTTATTCAAACGAGTTCGCGAACAGCATGATCTGACTATGGGAACGGTGGTTTATGGGGGGTTTTATAGGGTAAAAATTGGTTTTTCTTATTTTTGATCCTAAAAACATAAAATTTTGCAATTTCTTTCTAAACCATTTTGTAGAGCTCAAAAACAATCAAATTAATATATTGAAGCGTAGTTATGCGCCTAGTAGTTATGGTGAAAATTACAAAAAATTGTAAATATAAAATTCCCATGTTATTCTTATAGAGAATAAGTAAACTGTTGTAGTTTGCTTGTTTATGAACGTATTTTGATTAAATTTGGAAGATTAGTTTATTTTATACTAAACTATTAACATAAAAAAAAACACTTTTACCCTCCCTGTTGCAGCAAACCTAAGCACTTGATAAAATAATACAACAAAAATACTAAAACAAAATAGGGAATAAATGTGATATTTTAAAGGAGATATTCAATCAGTGTGAATCCAATCAGACAAATGGAAATTCACTTAGTCTGCAGGTTTGCTGCGGCAGGGGTATTTTCATATTTATGTGTTTGTTCTATGTATATCAATTCAGCACAATTATAACCTAACTTTAAAGGGCTAAAAGGTTTTTAAATCGTTAAATTATCTTAAAATAACTGAAATTAGTTTTTTTATTATAAAAAGTTATACTATGTTCATAATAGACACAAAGAAAGTTACAATTGTTCTGTTTACAATATTACAAAATGAAGTCAAAATTTAGATTGTCCTTCCATCAGACATGGGGGCTTTTATAAATAATTAATAATTCTATATAACCAGAAAGTAAGTTATTATAAATAAGCAACACATAGTTGTTTCCCTTTTATTTTTGTAACTAAAGGTACTTAAACAGTTTCCATAATTAAAATGTAGAATAAAGTTTTTTCTATCGAATAATTCAGACCAGTATTTACAATAGGAATAAAAATTAGCAAGATAAAAGTGATGGTAAAGAATCAAACCACTCTCAACTAAGCAAATGTGGTTAGCAAGGCCAGTCGCAAGACAAAGCCTGTTAATAACTCCTTTGTAGAAAACTGCACCTTTTTAAAATAAAAGCTCATGAGGAATGCTAAAGGTGAAGGAGCATCCGTTTTCAATTTACACTTAACACTCGAAAAGGGGTAGTTTGTTAATATTTTGTGTAAAATTTCAAGATGCAACTGATTAATATTGTTAATTGATTGTTAATGTTAACAGCTGTAAAATATGTTGCCACATTTATATTGTGGACACTCTAATTCAGTTGAAAAACAGTTTATAGTGACATCTAATTAAAATTATGAGTGTACAAAAATCGGTGTTATGTACTCAGTGTACTTATGTTTTAATTAAAAATAAAACTAATAAGGTAAAATTAAGTATTTTACATTTAAATAAGCTTTGAAAATCTTCTTTCAACTGATTAAGACTGTTCACAATGTTATCCAGTTTTATAAAAATATTTATATAAAACTCTATTTCTTATAGTATTAAAAAATAACATAATATTACAAACCTAAATAATAATTTAAGGAGCTATTCGTATTGCAAAAGGTGGAGTTTCCTCCAAAGACAATAGTTAATGACAGTTCTAACAAAATGTTTACAGAGAGAAGTGATAAAACACCAACGTGTTATTCCTACGTACACAGCAAATTAGGAAAAATACAAAATGAAACAGTTGGCTCATAATGCTACCTTGTGTGGTCAACCTTCACTTATTGATTCTAGACATTTTTTTCCAAAAATGTCAACAGATATTATCCGTGGGAGTCCCTTCTAGTAGTTCATGTCTCAGAAGAGGAAGAGGTCTGTGGGCAGGAATCAGGAACTGGTACTTGACCGACATCTTTAGGAACGTCCTTAGAACTTAGAACACGAGGACACTTGGCGACCAAGCCCTCGATCACTCCAGAACTGAACCCATGAGGAGTATGTGCTCGTTCTTGTAAAAGTTTAAATGCGCGAGAAGGAATAATGTCGTATCCTAAACTATCTTCGACATCTGAGTAGTAATATGGATTTCCCCAAGTATTGTAATAATCACAGTAATCGTAATAGTTGCCTCCATAGGCTTCCTGAGTTTGAGATGTGGAGTTTGTGGCAGTGTTGTCATTAGAATGTACGGCAGTGGACTCGCTGATAGGGGAATGCTGGAAACTATCATCTGAGGTAGAACTGAGTGTATCGTAAGGATCCATGTCTTCTTGAAGGATTCTTAGTGCAGCTGCGTACAGCTTATCCATTGGCAGTTTTCTGAAGTGACGTCCTTTTTTCTTGTTCAACAGGCTTTGTACTAGTTCTCTGACCAGCCTGTCATTAATTGTTGGTGAAACAGGAGAATTAATACCAGAGGATGATGACATACTGTCCGGATCACTTGGTGTGTAAGTTTGTAGAGGAAGTGATAGCCTTTCTTTTCGAGAGCATATACTTTCAGTATCCCCTAATGTGGTATTATCTACTATCTCCTGCTCGTCACTCTCTGTTGAACATTCATCTTGAAGCAATTTAAATAATCTTGAATGAGTTGATGCTCTTTGATAAGGTGTCAGTTTCCTTAACTCACTACCACATTCGGGCTCAGTATCAGTCTCAGAGATATGACGGCTCATATCAGAGGTGACACCGGAATCGTCTTCTTCACTTTCATCCTGTGATTTACAACTAGCCTCTCTGACTTTTCTTGGCTTTTGATCAACTTTTAGATGATTACTGACTTCACTCTTAGAAATTTCACTGACAAAAACATCATCATCACACTTTTCCTCAGCTCTGCTGCTATCATTTGAAGTTACAGAAGTTTGTGTTGCTTCTTTACTCTGTTCACTAACAGCACTGCTCTCTTCTGAACTTCCACTCGATGAGCTTGAAGTACTTGAGTCATCATCATCATCATCATCGCTAGAGGATGAGTCATAAAGTAAATCTTCTATGGGTATTTTTTCATGGTCATCTTCAATAGTTTTGAACTCTTGTTCTATATTTCTATCATCCACGCATATTGTCTCTTCTTTGCTAGTAGAGGACGGTTTTTGAATATCTTCGACTTCATCTGCTGTTCCACAATTTTCCATTTCACTACCACTGAAATTGTCACTACCTGAATGTTTTCCGATGCGGACTGTCTGAACACTTGTACTGCTGGAGTCATCTTCCCAATGTCCGTCACTTTCTTCCGGCCTACTATCGTCACTTTCTGAGGTCAAAATATTATAAGGGGATCTCGATCCAGACTTTGTGATACTTTTGGGAGGTAGAGTAACACTAATACTGATATCTGCAGGTACTCGAGACTTAGTTGTTAAATCATCACAGCTTAATTCTTTCCAAAAGTCGATAGGTGATTCAGACTTGCATCTTTCTTCTATTGTATCAGCTTTACATGACTCACCACAATTCACAACCACTGAAACTTCTTTATCACAAATGTTATCACTGTACTTATTATCCTCCAATTGACAATTTATATCAATTGTATCTTGTTTAATAGGTTGAACATCACCAGTCTCTATCCCGTATGTTACACTAATGTTCTCTGATGATTTTGTTTTCTTCTTAGGTATTGTAAAAGTAACAGATACATCTGGTTCATCATCAACTCTCTTGACCTCCTGTATAATTAGACTTCCAGGCTGGACTTCAGCCTCTGGGCTTGATTCTATCTCACTATCTCCAACAATGACAGTTGTTAAGTCCTCATTGTTTTCTGTTTTACTAAATTTAAGTTTTAGAGGCAACCTAACTAGAACGGTGGAAGATTCAGCATCAGCAATATCATCATCAGTATCTTCTCCATTGTCCAGAGTGGCTGTGGAACTTTCTCCTTCGCTGGTTGTTTCTCCATCAACATTCGAGCATTTTACTTTCTTTAAACTTTCTATCTCAGAATGTTCACTTTCTTCAAATATCACACTGAGTTGATGTGGTAGTTCATCTTCATATTCCTCTTCTTCTTCATTAGTTTCTTCATCTGGTTCATCTGTCTCTGAATTCTGAGACTGAATGTCAGAAGTACTAGAATCCTTGTACACACTTATATCAGGAACAGACTTTATAGTCTGCAATCCCATTGGCCTGTCAGAATTATCATCCTCGACCTCAGTGTCGGAACCGTCGTCAGTAGTAGTTCCTCCTGAATCTCCATTTACACTTGGTGAACTAGTTAAAGAACTCTTATTTCTGCTCATTTCTCTTTCAGAATCTGAAACTACATCACTGCTATATCCGCTGTTTCCGTACGGATGGCTCGGAGTGATGACAATCTGAGGTGTTTGAGAGCGATTGTCATGGTAGTAGGTGCGATATGGTTGAATAGGAGGTGGGTACTTCTTAAAGTAAGCGGCATAATAGTTCATTTCATCTGTGGATGAGTATCCACACTCGTCAGAATCACTTGTATACTGAAGGTTCTGAGGAGGAGGTGGTGTATACATGTGGAGTGGGTAACCATACGGTGGATGTGGATATCCGTAACTGTTGTTCATCTCAGCCACATAAGAACACATGGCATTGTAATGGTCCCAGAACTGCTGTTGCTGTTCAACTGTCTGCGGCGGGGGAGGGTAGTAGTAATAGTTAGGAGGGTAGGGGTAGTTGTTGGGAGCCCACATAACCTCTCCCCCATCATATATTTGTGGTGTTTGACGGCCATCAGACATTGCTGCTATAACAAATAACACCACCAGACATGTAAACTACCTATAATCAATTTGGAACTTTTAATCATGTTAATGCAGAATTTCTTATTCATCCAAGTAGTCTACCATCTGGTATTTAAAAAGATTCTAACATAATTGTATAGTTATAAACAGTAAGACATAAATATAATATATTGCTAAGTACCTACCTTTTGGGATAACCTTTTTAAGATTGGGTACTGCACTGAAAATATTGTAATCAAACTTATCATTTAGTACCTAGCAATTTTGTCTATACATTTTTTACTGTACCTACTGTTTAAACTTTTGCCACATACAGTTCCAAAGAAGTATGAGAGTGTATTTGATAATACAAGATAATATACTAAATTTCCACTGGTTTCATGTAAAAGGTTCTTCTTTAGTTTAGCTTATTTGTCATTCAACCCCTGTAAATTTGAACAGTATCTTCCAAAAACTTATTGCATTCTTATATAACCATTGTATGACAAATTTATAGAATTACTTGACCTGATGAGGGGGCTACATTATTTTGAATAATCTCAAAAGTTTGTAAGAGATGTACAACAGCAAAAATGCAGAATCTGTTGTTTCAATTTACAGTTCTTACTTTTATTTTTGCAGTTTGTAGGTTCATATATTTATCAAACAAAACTTGCCTTTTGACTGGTGTTTTAGATAGCTGCTGCACAGAATTACATATTTTATGTGAAACGTTAGATTATATTTTACCTTGTTTTATTGGCCAGTCTAGAAAAAGTTGTATCTAAATCTTATAGTGTTGATGAGTTTTTGTTGGTGTGTGTTTTTATTTGGAGGGGGGGGGGGGAAGAAAGCATTATGTATTTAGCCTCTTTTGGGAATAATTAAAAAAGTTACTTTCTAAAAACATTAATGGTCATTAGAGATTATGAAAGTTTTTTGAATGATAACAGCTGTTTCAACATGCGATCTTTGACATGAACAGCTAATTAGATGAGCTACAGAGATACAAATGCTCAAATGCATTATTTATGGATATTTACATTTATGCTTATGAGAGTGGTATGGTTGTGATTTTAGAATATCTATATACTTATACTTAATACAATAAAGGTGTTTCTCTGTTACATCCCTTTTTCACCGTCCTACTTACCCAATGTTTGTTATTGGGGCGTCATTGAAAAGCTTGCGATCTAGGGGAGTGAGGAATGGTAACTTAAAAGGTAATTTATTCCTTTAGTGCTTTGTCCCCCAGCATTAGATTTACTTGGAGTTTGCTTTAAAAGATTCAGTGATGCTGACCAATTTTTTACAATGGTTTGGATGTGAATTTAAATATGATTAGCTGATCTTTCAATTAAATGTTTAGCCCTTACCACTCTCATGTCGGCCGTGATCCAACATTGGCCGTTTCGCAATCGCATCACATGTTGGCTTAAAAAAAATTTTTAAATTCTAGGAATTTTTTAATATATTTTTAAAATTTTTATTATTAGTGTAATTCGAAGTTAAAATACTGTTAGGTATAGGCCCTTAAAATGAGAGTTGTAAGGGTTAACCATAGACGTAAACAACAGACAAAATAGTTTAAATAAAACTCGTTTATAAAATAAATATTTTAATTTCTTATGCTAGCCGCAGCACTGCTATCAGTCTATATTTAATTATATTTATCAATTTATCTATGATCAGATTCATTGAAGTCGCGTTGTATGACTGGCTAAATAACATATGACTTTGGAACCGTTACTATAATGCAAAAAATTTCACATTTAAAAACATTTGATGGATTTTAATAACGTATAACTTGGTGATTAGGACGGTAATTATGATTGAGGGATGAAATAATGAGAATGCTGCACTGCGAAAAAGAGTAACTATTTACAGTGAAAGAAATGAACGTTGTAAGGACATACCTGAGGGGTCGTTACCAGCTGTCATAGCTTGTAACATTCGGAAGGAGCGAGAAGGGATGGCTCCACCAGTGTACTTGCGGGGTTCCGCGGCTTGCTGCTCGGAGGGGGGCACATACTGCGGGGGTGCATCTGAGAGGAATTGCGTGTATTGTAATACAATAATGGTACAGAACTATATGGTTGATAGTTGATAGTGAGGAAAGGGAATAAAATATATGCATCTTTTGTGCCACCACTGACTTTAAATGGTAAACATCCTCAGCTGTATAGTAGGGTGGGCTGAAAAAATCTATAATTTTTTTAGTTTTAATACCTTGGAAAAGTTGCTAAATTGTAAGACCAAAACCTGGTAAAAATATTAAAAATAATGGTCGTTATCTTTCAGTAGCGCATGTGCTCTAAAGTTTGATCAAAAAATTAAATACTCATATTTTTTCAAAAAATTTTAAAATTTTAAAATTTTTGATTTTTATATTGTAATAGTTGAAAATGTCATCTGCAGGACACTAAGGACTACAGTAATTTTAAGTGAAGACAACATTTGTCTAGAGTTAAAATATTGGGGTAATTAGATTGGCTACACGTTGTTTTGTAGTAAAGGGGAGTAAAGAACACAGAGATGTAATTTTAGGCCTTTTCAGAGACCTACTTTTACATTTTAAGTTTAAACCCGCTGGGTTGGTCATCAACATTTTCTCAAACAGGGCGGTACAATTCCAACTAGTGATAGCCTAGAAATCAGCCCTTATAGTTTCTGATTCTACCATTTTGGCTACTGATAACTGCATAAGAAGACTTTAAGTGATGGTGAGTATATAAGGGAAAACACGAAATATGGCTTCTCTTAAATCTGAGACCAACTACTAAAACATTATTAACTAGCTAACTAGAAGAATATACTCAGTAAAACAATTTTACAAGTTTAAAAAAAATATCAACTAAATAATCTTTAAAGTCTATATTAGTTAGTGAGCACAGGGAAACATCATCACCATCAATCATGTTGTTGAATTTTGGAAACTTTAACTTCAGAATCACATTACGTCGGTCGGGTTACTGACCCGCTAAAGCCGCGCTTAAGTGAATTTGTATTCCTATGCGCGACCGGAAGATCAATTCTGACTTTGTCCGTTGTTTTTGTTATGTTACTATCTGAATGTGTACAAACAGATTTTCGGTATTACATTTTGATATCGATAATTATTTTTCAAATAAGTGTAGTACAAAATTATGTTTTTCTAGATTTTTGGCAATATTTATACAGCCAATGCGCGACCGGAAGATCTTAGCTTACAATTTTGTTTAAATATCAATTCCTTGGTGTCTTGCAGATGACATTTTCAATTATTACATATTAAAAATAAAAATTTTTTAAATTGTGTAATATAATACAGAGTTTTTTTTATTTTTGGTTGAAGAAAACGACCAATATTTTTTATGTTTTTGCCAGGTTTTGGTCTTACAATTTAGCAACTTTTCCAAGGTATTACAACTAAAAAAAAATTTTTGATTTTTCTGCCCACCCTACTGTATAGGACCGTTTCCAGTTTCTTACTTAATGATAACATGAATGAACAGAGTGATGATGTAAAATACGTATATCTGTCAAATACACCAGATTTTTTACCAAGCAAAACTACAATGACAACCTGTTAAACTTTAGCCATAGCATCTTTTATACCTCATCAACTCAACTATCCCAGTGACAAAAACTAAAGGAGAGTTACTGTATGAAAGTGTATTCTGCGAATAACTCATTCAACTATGCTTTAACTATGTTGGATAACAACATAGATAAAACATACTCCCTTAGTAGATTTGTCATCCTTATGGAACAGCTGAACACAATTTTATTATTAGTTCTGTACGGTTTATGTAGAGGTTGTGTTTTGTTTACAATTTGTTTCCCTTTATTACAGTCATTTAAATCCTCGTTTAACCAAATAATACGATCTAATCATAAACAATAACTTGTCCCCTATAACCAAACAGTAAAGCACAAATCAAGAAATTAACCCTAAAATAATAGAAACAAAATTTTGTCAACACCGTACATGAACTAGACACGAAAAACGTGCTTAAAAATTTACAGTGGGATGAGAAGTCTACTTGTGTTGGTTAGTCTATGATAATAATTAGTTACTGAATGGTGGTCCATTATAGATGGGAGATTTCAGTTTCCCAAGTCAATATAAAACTGTAATCCCTGTGTCAAAAGTTAGGCCAATTTTGCACAGTGAGTCTTGATCTTACTATGGTTTGTTCTAACACACCTGATGCCTGAGGCTGAGGAGTTCTATTGGCAAGCCTGTTCTGGCCTCCCTGCACTGGACTGTAGGCCTGAGGCACTGAAAACAAAACAATCAAAGTTAATGGCTTATACTTAAAATATTTGGAATTTGAATAATTTCACTTTATTAATTATGTAATAAACTGAAAAATATATCACAGTAAGGACCCCTGTCCTCGACTGATCAGTCGCCCTATCACTTAGCCATCGATGTATATAGCCTAACTGGATCGCGCCCTGCCACGAGAGTACAGTGCTGAAAACGAGCCGGCGCTCAATAGGCTCCCCCCCCCACAAGTGGGGTACCAAGCGGCGCCGGCGACTATTTCGTGCGTTGACTTCTGTATGATGCACTGTTTACATCCCATGTAATCACTGTTGTACTCGTGGTGTTATGCTGGTAATTTTTGTTAAGTCTAATGAAAGTTCTAGATAATGCCGCAGGGCTGTGTTGCATTCAACTGAAGAATCTTAATTCTTTGCAAAAGGATGAAGGATTAGCATTGACTAGCAAGTTGTCTGACAACCATATATGTTACAGAAACAGGAAAATTAACGTCAAAATTGCAGCTCAAACCTTGAGCTCGGGCGTTGCTGACGCTTTAGAATTTTTGTTAATGAAGACACACCAACCATCGATTTCATTAGAATAATGGACCAATTGTTTGACATTTTCAACAGTAGAGACCCGTTTGGGAAGAATTTAAAATCCCCCATAAAGAAAGAAAGCACCTTATCTACATTAATATGATCTTATACATAAGTTTAAACTATTTAAAAAGTTACAAAATTGAAAACGTCCCCATCTTAGAACACCCATCAACACAATTCACATTTTAATTGATAAACTAATAACACTGATCTCGAAGTTTTCTAAAGATCACCTGGAGTTGTTATTTTCATGTATTTGAGGTAGAGAAGGAAATAATAACAACCCAAATGTAAAGCAATTTCATCAGTAACTTATGTTCCGTAACAGTATCCAGCCTCAGCCTTCTGCAAAGGGAAATTGTTTGGTTTTTGACGAACACCACCAAAATACAGTCATGAGATTTGGAGAAGCAGCGTGGTTGTAAAGTAATGAAACCAAGGACAACGACGACGAATTTGATGATTAATCTTTGCGAGAATACTAATAGTACATTTTAACAATTGTACATGTTTTTTAACAATTTAATTACCGGTAAATGTTTTATCAAATAAAAAATACCCCCCCCCCGCAGCAAACCTGCAGACTAAGCGAATTTTCATTAACCTGATTGGATTTACACTAAAATGCCTCCATAAAAATAGCATATTTATTTCCTATTTAAATAGAATTAGTTTAACGAGTACTTAGGTTTGCTGCAACAGGGAGGGTAAAAAAGATTTTTTTTATAAAATGATAATAGTTTAGTAAGAAATAAAAGTATTTACCAAAATCAATCAAAATATGTTCATAAACAAGCAAACTACAACAGTTGACTTATTCTCCATAAGAATAACATGGGAATTTTAAAATTACAATTTTTTTGAATTTTCTCCGTAACAATTAGGCCCATAATAACACTTCAATATACTAAATTATTTGTTTTTTTAAGCTCTACAAAATGGTTTAAAAAGAAATTGTGAAATTTTGTGTTTTAAGGGTCAAAAATGGGAAAAACCTATTTTTACCCCATAAAACCCTGTTCCCATAGTCCGATCATGCTGGTTCGCGAACTCATTCAAGTTTATCCCGCCTTACACCTTCAAACCAAATTTTATCAAAATCGGACAAAAATTACTCAAGTTATCGTGCGGATGGACACATATATATATATATATATATATATATATAGATATAGATATATAAAAATTTGAACGAATGGTGTTTTTGGCCTCTGGGGACATCAAAATGAAAAAGTAAATCGGTCCCGGGCTTAGGTCTTACCATGAGACCTACGGTAATAGCTACTTCCCTATAGGGAAATTCGCTAATATACAATTTTACTGTGTTAAAGTTCAAGGTTTTATCTTTTGACTTTCTTCCTCTATGTCAAAATTGATGAGTTTGAGTTTTGGTGGAAATATCCATATTGGGTCCCCCTAAAGCCAAAAAAGTATGTGTACAGAGCTACGGACTGATTTTGATTAAATTTGGGTTGTTGACATAAGTTAATGGGAGTAAGTATGTGTCATATCGCTCGTATGTGTACATGTTTTTAAGTAAGTGTTGTTTTTGTGTATAGATCCGTAGTTCATGTGTACGCCAAAATGAGGCTCCTAACTGCTTACTGGCATCATATTTGTGAACAGAATGACCCTACTTGTAGCTCTGTATCTTACATTTACGTTTCTCTGTGTGTTTTTTATATTTTTGTAATCATCAAATTTCTTGCCATGTTTGAACAAGAAACATATCTGATGCTGACATGCATCAGCAGATGACTGAAGTTCCTGGCCCTATAATGCAATAATGATGGGGGGAAAGTACAGAAATGGGCTATGGAGTTTAACACGTTCCCTACCAACATGTTAAACAAATTCTTTCACCACAGACCAGCGTCAAATATGGTATATTTTTGCCACATACCGGCTTCAACTTTAATAGTTGACAGATGGTTTGAACTTACTGGACTGACGTCAAAGCCAACAGAATGCGCATGCAATTTAATTTATGAGTTGATGATTTGATGATGTTGATGTTGATGATTGGTGATTTTTTCTGTATAGTTGGCAGAATTTTTTACCCTCAAAAGTTCTAGAGGTCTCAATGCATTAGTCTTCAATCGAGTTGGTGTGTGTTATTTATAATCTTTTTTGTGTTTTATATCATGGATAAAGATTGCCATACTACTAATGGATAAAGTCATCGATACATACGACGAATTAATCTATGGACCAAGGTCATAACCATTGTTGAGAACAAAAAAAATGTTTGATACATGATTGCATTTTTTATTGTTCTCTCATGTAAATAATTATTATTAAGACCCTACCCGACAGAAAAAATAATATAAAAGATTGGTCTGTGGGTATGTTTAATTTAATAAGCTTGATTCAAAACCAAAATCTGGCTCACTGATTAGGGCAGTGACAAACCAACCTCGGACAAATGAAATGTTGGACAAATGAAACTCACCCTTAAACAGTAAATCTCTTTACAGTAGACTCCCTCGTATCCAGACACCTTTTAACCGGACTACACTCGGCGGAAACGACATCTCTTTAACCGGAAAATTTTTATCAGCACATTGGTTTAACCGTACTAGATTGGCAGGAAGTGGGCGGTACTAAAACGACTGTTCTAAGGACGAAAGATTTGAGACCAGTGATCACGTGTCTAAATACAATGGTCTCCAAAATTTAAGTAAAATATCCCAGTAAACGGTCCATTTTAACGATTTTTTGGGGACGTCGGTTTAACCAGAAAAACCATTATCCGGACTGGCCTCGGTCCCAAGGAGTCCGGATAAGAGGGAGTCTACTGTATTTGTAATTTGGGCTGCGTTAAAAAAACCCTGTATTTGGGGTTCACTTTTTTACCAGCAATATTAAAAATAGAATGCATGTTTGGTGGTCAGTCACTAAGTTGTTGCAACTTTTTTGTAATTTTACACTTTGACTCACTACTACTGATCGAGTTTCCTTTGAAAAAAATATTCTTAAAGTTACCTATTGCAAAATTTAACATGTTTAGGGTTTATATTTAATTTAATTTTACAATGCCATGCTTTACAACCCAAAATCCATGCAGCAAACAACTATCCAGAACATGCAAACCTGTAATTTTTTAAAATATATAAACTGACAGCTCAGAGAAGGTAAAAATCATACACATCCACTGTGCTTTTGGTAGGTTAAAGTTTCATGAATTAAGTTAATCCTGAAGAAAATTTTAGATCCTTAATCAAACCCCAAATGGTCAAACATCTTTACTTTTGATGCTAGCATTGGTTTTTGTTGACAATACATAGTTTTATAGGTTTATATGAGAATAACCCCGCCGCAGCAAACCTGCCGACTAAGCGAATTTCCATTTGTCTTAATTGATTTTCAATTAAATATATTTTAATAACATTAGGTTTAACGAGTACCTAGGTTTGCTGCTACAAGGAAACTAATAAAGTGTGTTTTTTTTGTAAAATATTGATAGCTTAGTACAAAATAAATAAATTTGATCAAAATACAAAATATATCCATAAACAAGTAAACTACAACATTTGACAATTTTCTCCATAAGAATAACATGGGAATTTTAAATTTAAAATTTTTTAAATTTTCTCCGTTACTATTAACCGAACAAAAATACTTTTATCTACTAAATTAATTGTTTTTTTAAGCTCTTTAAAAAGGTCTAAAGAGAAATTGGGAAATTTTGTGTTTTGAGGGTCAAAAGTGAGAAAAACCTATTTTTACCCCATAAAACCCCCCGTAAAGCCCCGTTTGCATGGTCCGATTATGCTGGTTCGCGAACTCATTCAAGTTTATCCCGCTTTACACCTTCAAACCAAATTTCATATATATATATATATATATATATATTGATATATAAAAATTTGAACGAATGGTGTTTTTGGCCTCTGGCGATATCAAAATGAAAAAGTAAATCGGTCCCGGGTCTAGGTCTTACCGTGCCACCTACGGTAATAGCTACTTCCCTATAGGGAAATTCGCTAAAATGTAAAAAATAAAGAAATTACTGGTTGGATGCATGTTGTAAGTGTTGAAAAATAGCAGGCCTTGCTACCACTTTTATGAAAGAATAATTTTTCAGATCTTAAATGATTTATGAACTCAGCAATGATTTTATACTATGACATTTTTCAAAATTAGTACCAATAAAGTAGAATATAAATGTTGGATTCACTAAATAATTTTACTTGGAACGTTCTTACAAAGTTGTTTTAATACAAAATATAGTACAAAACAGTTTGACATTCATTTAGGAGACAGTTCTGAAACGGAAATTATCTTATTTTTCAATGTACAAACACAATAATATAATTAGATATTTTATGGGGAAACAATTGAAAACATGCGGTATGTAAAATATAAAAAATATTATTACCCACGACAGTTATTTTAAGTAGCCGTTTCAGTTCAGTTTTTAGAATTGTAAACTTTCACATAACAGAGCATTGTTTACTTTCGAACAGCATAGTTTTACTCATAACACGGGTAACCGATCATTGAGGTTCAAGGATTGAGAGAGAAGAAGGAAATTGTAATGATTTGAAATTAAAGTAATCAGCTGTTCAGGCCAATTTAATTGTTGAGTGGTGCAATTATAATGTTTGGTACAATATGTTTCGTTGCATCACTGTCAGTGGCAATGAGAGGTTATAAACGAAAACATAATCTCTCTTAGAAGTTATGAGTAGTGATTTTTAGTAACTAAAACACTGTCGTAGGTAAAGTAGTATAGGCTATGCAACTCTTGTAAATAGTGTCAACGACTATCTTTACGCAATCGCATAAACTACTATTTTCATTTTGTAAAATTTTATCCCTACAATTTCTAAAGTACAAGATTGCAAACCTGAAAACCCCTTTTTCCACAGAAAATTATTGATAATTGTTCGTAATATTTTTGATTATTAAGATGTTATTAAAATGTCTTGAATACATTGTTACTGTGTTTAAACTGAAACACCAGTTAATGACATACAACACACACACTTCTACCCATACTCTCTTCGCCGCCAGTGCCATCCGTCATGTTCTGAAGTATCCGGAAGGCTCTAGAAGGTATGGCAGAACCTCGGTACCTCGGATCTGACTCGTTGTGAAGGTAAGTTTCATCATCAACTATTAAATAATAACATGGTTCTAATCCAACGAATACGCAAATAAAGAAAATCCCATATACCCTCTTCTAAACAAGTTAACAGCAGAGTTTAAGAGGAAATACTTTTTTTCTGGGTCTCAATGTTAACTATTTGTGTATTTTAAGAGCTAACTATTTGTGTAATTTAGGAATTCTGAACAATATTGTTTTACACTTTAGTGGAATAAATATGGTTTAAACTATATTTTTAACTACCCTAAATTATGTAAATGATGAACATTACATAGCAAATTAATAAGAAAAATAGCTTCTAGTTTGGATTCCGTTCCTGTCATGCAAAAGAATTATCAATTTAAGCATCCCCTGAAGCTTCCACCTGATGCAATGTCAGCCTGCACCATCATTAAGAATTGACTGTCTAATTTACCACTTTCATCCAACATTTTGAAGACTTTGGATGGAATATATCCACCTCTGTACCTTGGGTTTTCTTCGTCTTCTTGTACAATTGTGTCTGTAACTAATAAAAATATTTGCCTAAAATCCAAATTTTGTGGGTACGGTATATAACAGTTTTGCTATTTGTCATATCCGTGGTGAATTTCCCTCTGTAAAGATAAATGTCCTGTTCTAGTTACTTTAATGACTACTAAAACTGTCTTTGTTTGGTTTTATGTTAACATATTTTTCATGTAAATATGTTTTTTAAATTGCATTTACTTTAAATGATTAGAGAAGTTGACACTAAGGATCAATTTTACAAGTCCAGTAATAAATTACTCGTAACTAGATGGTCCACTTAATTTCACATTGAAGCTATATTTTAGTATCTACAGTTCTAAATTTAAAAAGATTTACTATTCTAGGTTAAACACTTGACATAAAATAAATAATGAGGGTACATTTACTGGACTATTTGGCTCAAGAATAAGTAACATTTTAGTCTTTTGCTCTTTTTATAGTAAGAATTTTTGTTGATGCTACAACAAAGTTGTTGTTTGATTCTATTGACTTTTACCACCTACCAGTCCTATTTTCTTTGTTTGAGAAATGAACATACCTTGAGACTTGACTTTGTCCATCAGAGCCCGATCATCATCAGAAAGCTGTAGTTTACGCAGCTGACTCAGTGGAACTCCCTGGCTGTTGTACGGAGCGTCGTTCTGGTCGGCTCCTGTATATAACATCCAAGGATATTGGAATTTCATTTTGTAAATGGGGTAGTTGGTCGACAAACGCTTAGAAGACTGAAGTATCAACATGTAGTAATCCGTGTGTATCTTCCCTCACAAATTGACTATTGATTTCATGTATTACATGAAAGGTTACTTTTTCGCTTTTGTTTGAGCTGGATTGTTAATGAAAAGAAGTAAGCCCATTAATAATTATATTAAGGTACACTGCAATCACAAACCAATTAATTGTGCCTTTTGGTTGACTCATGAAGTCACTTCTAGACGCATGAATTTATACCAATAAAGTCGGGCCTTAAGTATGTACTCATATCGTAACGTATTCATTATTTTGGTTAACATTTGTGCGAGGGAGGTGTTCCTAAACAGAGGACTTGCAATGTTTTATATTTTACTTTCAGGTATATGAGATACTGAATCGTTAGATAAATAATTATTTTTTAAATCTATTTCAAAGATTAAACTTATCTATGAATAATATATCTATATAAATAAAATTTGAGTTTTGTCTGTACATTGCTCAAAATTATAAGTTTTTAGATTATTTTTCCATTTAATACATTTAAGAAGCCGAAACCAGTCTCATCTCTATATCTGTCTGTCGGTCTGTCTGTTACGGCCCTAGAGGCATTTTACGCGGCCTTCTCCTGAAAAACGAGAGTAGCTATCAAGATCCAAATCATTTTAATGTATTCACTGGATTAGCGAGATTGTCTTTAGCCATTAAAATATGGCCTCACTATTTTTTAAATAAAATGACGGAAGTTTAAAAACCCGATTTTGTGCGATTTTTGTCAAGTTTTCTCCCAATGTCCATCACATAATCATCTATGAAATAACAAACAGCTGTTCGGATCAAGATTATTTTTTCTAGCTGTTACTGATATGTTTACATTAAACTAGGTGGCGTTCGCAGAGGCATCCACAAAATTGAGCGGAGTCATCAAGGGTTCATATTATATTGTTTTTGTCATACTGCAGTAAAAACAGTCGTTTTTAATGCATGCGTTGCGGGTCTAAAGTAGCATTTTTACTCTTTAGGGAGTAAAAATCATTTTTAGCCTCTATGGAGTAAAAATCAGCTGTTGTAAATTTCTATTGTAAATGATTCCATGTATCAAAATATGTATCGATCCGTGCTTCGTAATCATTTTAACCTACAGTCTACAGTCTCTTCCCATAGCATTTTAACATTGCAGATACATTAATCCATTACCACACTCAACACTGCTCACCTTTACTACTTCCTACACCACCCCCTACGTCATGGACCTGTTTCCCTCTCTTCCCATAGAATTTTAGGATTGCAGATACATCATTGTAATTGCCAAAGACAGTTCCCACACTCAGCACTGCAAGCCTTACTACTTCCTTCATCACTTCCTACGTCGTGGGGCCTGTTTTCTTCCCTTCTCATAGCATTTTAGGATTGAAAATACATTAATCTTACTGCCACAGACAGTTCTCACACTATGCTCATACTTTACTACGTCCTAAGCCACTTCCTACATCGTGGACCTGTTTTCATCACTTTCCATAGCATTTTAGTATTTTAGATACGTTAATCTAATTGCCACAAACATTGCCCACACTCCGTACTGCTAGCCTTTACTACTTCTTTCACAATTTTCTATATCGTGGACATGCTTCCATCCCTTTTCATAGCATTTCAGCATTGCAGATAAATTAATCTAACTCCTACAAACGGTTCCCAGTTCCCACACTCCACACTGCTCACCTTACTACTTCCTTCACCTCTTCTTACGTCGCGGGCCTGTTTCCCTCTCTTCCCATAGAATATTAAGATTGTAGATACCTTAATCTAATTGTCATAAACAGTTCCCACACTCCGCGCAGCTCGCCTTGACTACTTCCTTCACCACTTCCTACGACTCGGGCCTGTTTCCCTCCCTTCCCTTAGCATTAATGGATTGCAAATACCTTAATCTATTGGTCATAAACAGATCCCACACTCCGGACAACTCGCCTTTACTACTTCCTTCACCACTTCCGACGTCGCGGACCTGTTTTCCTCCCTTCCCATAGAATTTTAAGATTGCAAATACCTTAATATAATAGTCATAAACATATCCCATACCCCGAACAGCTCGCCTTTACTACTTCCTTCACCACTTCCTACGTCACGGACCTGTTTTTTCCCTTCCCATAGCATTTTAGATTTGTAGATAAATAAATCTAAACGTCAAAAACAGTTTCCACACTCCGGACAGCTCGCCTTGACTACTTCCTGCACCACTTCCTACGACGCGGACCTGTTTTCCTTTCTTCCCATAGTATTTTAGGATTGTAAATACCTTAATCTAATGGTCAGAAACAGATCCCATACCCCGAACATCTCGCCTTTACTACTTACTTCACCACTTCCTACGTCACGGACCTGTTTCGTTCCCTTCCAATATTATTTTAGGATTGCAGATACCTTAATATAATCGTCATAATCAGTTCCCACACTCCGGACAGCTCGCCTTTACTACTTCTTTCACCACTTCCTACGTCACGGACCTGTTTCGTTCCCTTCCAATAGCATTTTAGGATTGCAGATACCTTAATATAATCGTCATAATCAGTTCCCACACTCCGGACAGCTCGCATTGACTACTTCCTTCACCACTTCCTACTCGCAGACCCGTTTTCCTCCCTTCCCAACGAATTTTAGGAATGCAGATACCTTAATCTAATCGTCATAAACAGTTCCCACACTCCGGACAGCTTGCCTTGACTACTCCCTTCACCACTTCCTACGTCACAGACCCGTTTCCCTCCCTTCCCTTAGCATTATTGGATTGAAAATACCTTAATCTATTGGTCATAAACAGATCCCACACTCCGGACAACTCGCCTTTACTACTTCCTTCACCACTTCCTACGTCACGGACCTGGTTTCCTCCCTTCCCATAGTATTTTAGGATTTCAAATACCTTTATCTAATAGTCATAAACATATCCCATTCCCCGAACAGCTCGCCTTTACTACTTCCTTCACCACTTCTTACGTCACGGACCTGTTTTTTTCCTTCCCATAGCATTTTAGGTTTGTAGATACCTTAATCTAATCGTCATAAACAGTTTCCACACTTCGGACAGCTCGCCTTGACTACTTCCTTCACCACTTCCTACGTCGCGGACCTGTTTTCCTTTCTTCCTATAGTGTTTTAGGATTGCAAATACCTTAATCTAATGGTCATAAACAGATCCCATACCCCGAACAGCTCGCCTTTACTACTTCCTTCACCACTTCCTACGTCACGGACCTGTTTCCTTCCCTTACAATAGCATTTTAGGATTGCAGATACCTTAATATAATCGTCATAATCAGTTCCCACACTCCGGACAGCTCGCCTTGACTACTTCCTTCACCACTTCCTACTCGCAGACCCGTTTTCCTCCCTTCCCAACGAATTTTAGGAATGCAGATACCTTAATCTAATCGTCATAAACAGTTCCCACACTCCGGACAGCTTGCCTTTACTACTCCCTTCACCACTTCCTACCTCGCGGACCCGTTTTCCTCCCTTCCCATAGAATTTGAGGAATGCAGATACCTAAATCTAATTGTCATATACAGTTTCCACACTCCAGACTGCTCACCTTTACCACTTCCTTCACCACTTCCTACGTCACGGACTTCAAGCTAGTGTCGTCATTTGATTATATTTATGATCCATACCGTTTCTGTTCTAATATCTGTGGATTAATACTATCAGCTATTTCCTTATCTACTGCATTCAAAAGTCAACAGCTGATCATATGTTTTTGTTTATGTGTCAAATACTGCTTCCATAAGGATTACATTGAAACTTTGAGACCCAGTGGGGCGGATTCCTGAGAGACTTTTTTAACGCCATATAGATGTTGGAACTCACCGATATGGTCTTTATCACCATGCAAAATTTGAAAACGATTGATTCAGCCGTCTAGGAGGAGTTTGCGTATTACGAAATGCATAAGAGTCGACGTATAAGAGCTTTGCTCGCTTCGCTCGCTCCGCTCGATAAATGTTGTTTACAAATAATTCAATTAATGGGAAATAACTTTTATTTTCGATAACTTTTTGTCAGAAAATCCAAAACCAAGAGAGATTAATAGCCTCGGAACTGGATTAACGCATTTAATTGGTCGGATGTACTATAGTTCTTAACTGTAAACTTTGGTTTTTGGTACTGTTTTTTTCCTTAGAACAGCTGGTATCAACAAGAATAATTTTTACGTACCAATACATCACTATTTACAAATTAGTTATCGTTAGTGTTGCACCTTATTTATTACGGTAGTATTCAATTTAACTTTAACTGAATACTATAAGATCCCCGTGCGTAGAACGGGCACACAGCTAGTATATAAATAAAAATACACTGACCATCAGTTCCAGTGATTTTCTGTAGCACCTTGAAGGATTGGGACTGAACAGGTGCAGGTGATTGAGAGCCATTTGTCTGTGAGTGGCACCAGCTGGGCCGGGGCTGACTGCTACCGTTGTTCCTGGGATTAAGGGTAACAAATTAGTGTAGTATTGCTTTTTGTTAACAAAATTTCCATAAAGATTTTTGGGGTTTGGACTACTTTTCTGAACACTGTATTATTTTTTTTATTAAAAGTGTGTATTATTTTGACCACCGATTAAATGCCACTAGTAAAATAACAAAAAGAACAAATTTAAACAAACCTAAAATACTAGTACTAGATTGCCTAACTAAATACACTTTTTGTTCATCATAAATAAATATCTAGTAAAATTGACTTACTGCTCCACAGTCACAGGTGATTGAGAACCAGAGTTGAACTTGTTGTGTTGATAAACAGGCTGTTGATTCACCCATCGGGGAGTCCCAGGGGTCTGCCGTCCAGAGTTTGGCTGTTGGTATTGTTGTTGTTGGTATTGTTGCTGTTGTTGTTGTTGATACTGCTGTTGTGGCTGCTGTTGGTACTGTTGCTGCTGCTGTTGTTGATATTGTGGTGGTTGGTATTGCTGTTGCTGGTAGCTGGGAGGTTGGTTGTAGTATGGAGCTTGAGATGGTTGAGGAGATGGAGTACCCTCTAGTTGAATGGGTATTATTCTCTCATTCGATTTTGCTGGCTCTTTGCCTTCAATCTAAAAAAACAACAAAAGAATAAAACACTTAAGTGTAGAAGTAAAAATTGGATTATAAAAGCGTGCTTACATTAATTTAAGCTCAGGGCCATATTTCCCTAACAGCGGACACAGCGGTTGCCGGGGCCCCAGTCTAGGAGGGGGCCTCTCACTAGGGCCTTAAATTTTTTTCTTGATAAATTTACTTCACCGATTATCTGTTTCGCCGCCATCATGTGATACGTTGGTGAAATTTTCGCAACCACAAAAAGTCTTTACTATTTTGTGGTCAACGTAGGAATGTACTATGCATCCGCAATTGCGGAAGATATCCAGGATTTTATCGAGACCATGGGAGTCAAAGATCATGTCCCCGAACTTGGAAGATCTTCACGATTTTGTCATGATCGCAGGAAACATAAATATTGACTTCTTGGTCACGCAAGAGGTTAACTATTCCTCCGCGGCCACGACGTTCATGATTCCGCCCCGATTGGAGGAGACAAAGATTATGTCTCCATGCTTGCGCAAAATGTTAACTATTTCTCCCCGGCCACATAAGACGTTCATGATTCCATTGCAATCAGAGGAGACGAAGATGAAGTCTCAGCACCCGCGCAAGATGATAACTATTTCTAAGCGACCATAGTGGAAGAAGCAGATTTTTCCGCAGTTCATGATTTAGCCGCGATCGCAGAAGACAAAGATGATGTCTCCACAATAATTGAGCATGTTGTTTACTATTTTGCCGTAAATGTAGAAGATGTTCACAATTCCTCCGCTACCGTTTCATATGTCCACGATTAGATTTTGTATTAACCAATTAATAGTATATCAATTAATATATTTTAAATTAATTCATTTGAAAACTATCTGATTTTGATCCGATGCCCGAAGGTGAACATTTTTTTTATCAAGAAAGAAATTAAAATATCTGGCTGGCCCCGACCTAAGACTCCTAATATTATTAATTAAAACATTGATAGACTTTTTTATTACCTTAGTCTCCTAGGTATTTTTGCTGATTGGATTGTTTTAAACAAAAGGTCAATTGATCAAGTTGAAGCAATACCACGTGCATTTCTATAGTTCCAACCATCATAGAATCAGATTATAGAGGGGCCTCTCTGGTGAGAGCCGCCGGGGCCTCTTCGAGTCTAAATACGGCTCTGTATAAGTTCACTCATTAAACATACTAAATATAAACATATTATACATGAATACTTCACTTTCGCCTTACAATTAGATCACTCGCAACTGCTATCATTATTCTAGTAACAACAACAATGTAAACGCTGGTGGAATTTAATCCGTCATTCAATACTAGAATAGTAACTCGCTCGCTATCGCATTCCATTAACTCGAATGCAAGCTCGAATTAATGTAAACACTCAATTTAAGTTTTCCTTTTAGGACAGATCATTTTACAGCGTCCGTGAATACCTACTTTAGTGGTCATTCACAAAGTCATGTGCGTATGTTTAGTTATTTAGTTATAGAATTTTTTACAGTAAGGAATTTTTGTTATCAAGATGTATTAAATTTATTTTTCTTGTATTGACTTGGCTAATGCAAGTATTGTCAATTTGGCCCAATAAATGACTTATTGACTTATTAGGACCTCTTCCTGAAATTGGGAGGAACAACATAAAACCAATCTAGCAAACATTACTAATATCTGATATTATTACTCAATCTTCCAATCAAAAATCATAAATTTGATTATTTCTTGGATATTATACAGGGTGGTAAAAAAGTCCCTGGACAGTTAAATATTTTAAAAAATAATGCAGATAGAGCTACAATACTTGGTACAAAGTTACAGGGCATAAAACTCTATTTTAACACATATTCAGTGATCCAATAACTCTTCAGGGGGACGGCCCACAAGGAGTCGGAAGAAAATCTTAAATGGAAGCATAGGTCAATATGCACATCAAATTAAAGGTCTTTTTTAGTAGAATACAATGCCGCAAACCGCACTTCGAAAGGTTTATCCTGCGCAAAATGACAGTTGTTCAAAGGTTCATTTAATTTACATTGCTATTATACGCTTACTCCTCAGGGGGCACAGCGCCCTAGGAATCGGAAGAAAATTGTTAACGTAAGCATAGGTCGATATGCACATCAAATTAAAGGTCTTCACTAGTAGATTACGATGCCGTAAATTTAAGCTCAAAAGAATGCCTGAGTAAAAAATGGCAGTCGTTCAAAGATTCAAAATGGCGGATTCAATAAATCTTTGAACATCTGCCATTTTGCGCAGGATCAACCTTTTGAAGTGCGGTTTGTGGCATTGTATTCTACTAAAAAAGACCTTTAATTTGATGTGCATATTGACCTATGCTTCCATTTAAGATTTTCTTCCGACTCCTTGTGGGCCGTCCCCCTGAAGAGTTATTGGATCACTGAATATGTGTTAAAATAGAGTTTTATGCCCTGTAACTTTGTACCAATTATTGTAGCTCTATCTACCTTATTTTTTTAAAATATTTAACTGTCCAGGGACTTTTTTACCACCCTGTATTTATTTTAATGCTGCGGAGCAGCATGGGTCCTACTTTTTAATAAAATGTGCTTACACAGTTACAAAGAGATCCTGCTCTTACCTGGATAGGGATGATCCTGGTTTGGGGCTGCTGAGGGTGTTGGCTTGGAGGAGGACTTTGGACAGGGATGACTCTAGGTTGCTGGTTTTGGTTTGGTGGAGGACTAGTAACGGTTTCCCTGTTCACCCAGGGAGGGACCTCTTTTGGTGTCTGCTGGTTCTGTCGAGACATCCAAGGAGTCGGGGCCTTATTGAGTTGACTGACAGGTGACTGGGGCTTTATTGTCTCTTGCGGGGCAATAGGAGGAATATACAAGGATCCTAGTTGAGCCCTCGGCTGCTGGGCTTCTATAGGAGGGACGTATATACTACCAGCAGTCGATGTTTGAGGTTCACTTTTTGTGTGTCTGTGTTGAGGTTGCATTTTTGGCACGGCCATTGGCGGTGGGGACGGTTGACGATTTATCACTTTCTGGGGAGACACAGGTTGCGGAGGCGAGGGAGGAGAATGCATGGCTTGTGGTGGGGGTGGAGGAGGTGGCGGTCCAGCTACATGGTGAAGGTGAGGGACTGCCCCGCCTTGAGGCAGTACAGGGATGGCTATCTGAGGCTGCATGGCGGCCATAGCTGACGGAGGGAGTGGGCCACTGGGCACTGACGCTGGTCTGGACTGTTGTGGTAGTGGGGCCATATCGGGGGTATTAGCGTTGCGGTTGATCCTCCTTGCCATTCGCGGAGACCTGATCTCTGACAGATCCAGACCTCCTGGTGTGTATGTGAATGGCTTCTTATCTTTGGTCATCATTGCGTTTTGTATGGCAGCTGGAGGCTCATACGCTGAACGTCTCTTCTCAGGAATCTGAAAAGATATCCATATGACTTCATGACTAGTCTTGGTAAAACAGTTAATTATAGTACCTACTATTTTAGTTTTCCTAGTTAATTTTAACCTACACTTGTAAAACGTATGAAAATTGGCTGCTTTTGCTTACCTAAAAAAACTAAGGTTCCCCAATTAGCTAAAATCAGAAATTAAAGTATGCTATGCTTAAAATTGCATTCATATCATACAATATTAATTAAAAATTTAAAAATCTTAGAGCATACTAATATTTTTTTCTTTTACATAAGTAAGTAGTCTTGGAGAAAATGTCCAACAAATTCAAGAGTGTGTAAGCGTAAGGTTTTTGCATTTCTTACTTATTTTACGTGATATAAAATTTGTTCACAACCACAATCCTGTTCAAATCATGACAACAACTTAGCTACACACTACCACTATAAAGTTGTTTTTTCTATATTTATTTTTCTTTACCGTAGAGAGTTACATTGAAATTTTACCTTTGTGTAGGCTGGATTTCTACAACTTTTTATAACATTTATATTGAAATCTTTGTTAAATAAACCTATAGAACTCTTTGAACATCTAAAGTATAAATATCAATACTAAACCTAAGATAATGAAATTAATGTGCAAACTATTTTTGTACCGGTAAGACGTCTTCATGGATATTGCATGAGGTCATACTGAAAAGTGTAGATTTGTGTTCTCTGGACAAGGACTGTGTGAAAACAGACAAAACACTTCTATGCAACAATGTTTAGGCCATGCATAGTGCCATCTTCAGGGTGACTTAATATGTCAAGTGTGCAGTAGTAATACTGTAGGTCACTCTGAAGATTGAAGATGGCATACTCTATCTATCCCAAAACGTTAGTGAATAAGGGGTTGCCTTTTTGCTGTTGCCTGTGTTTTGAGTGTGTGAAAAAAGTTAGTACTACCACTACCAAAGGGTTTTATCTAATTTTATACAGTTGCCTTAAAGACATGTTAGGCCATAAGTAATTATAGTTATATGATCAATCTTTATTGAACATTCTACATGTAAGTTAAAGTTTGCATATTGGGTTTAGTTGTTGGGAATGATTGACAATATACAAGTGCTGGCTGCTGTATAGTAACTCTGTACCTCGGTGTTGAGTCGCACAGCAGGGATGTTCCCAGGCAGTCCTGGTGGTGGCGGGGGAGGCGGGCAGGGTACCCAGCCGAGGGAGGAGGTGGTGGTGGTGGCGGTGGCGCCTGGTTGTCTCCTGGAACATACCATCACCTAAGTTGAGGCAACAACACATAATAATGTGGTGTAAGAAACTCGCTACTCTACAAAAGAAAATTGCCTACTGCTCTCTTTTTTAAGCAACCTCATGTACAGCTTAGTGGTGGTACTTGGATAGAGCTCTGGTGCATCAAAATTGGACAATTAGAAGTCTTACGGTACTCAAAGAGCAAACAAGCTGTACAGAGGCATTTATATGTCTGAAAATCTCCCTGAATCATCACTCTACATATAGGAGGTAATGTTCTTAGCAAACTCCACATCTCAAATAAGAAACAAAGGCCTACACAAAAACCACACAAGAGAGACTGCTAAATTTACCCTTTCAGCCAGTACAAAGACTGATCTTGTATGAAGAAGTTATCCTATAAGTGAGCACTTCAACCAACTCTCAGGAAACATAAAAAAAAACACCATACCGAGAACCTGAAGAAAATCCTGACATCCTTTTCACACAACTTAAAAGACCTTACTTATTACTGGTCTACACAGGAATTGATTTATATCACATTAATTTTAAACGAGCTGTCGGCCTGTCCTACAAACGCGAATCGAGTAGTTCATTAAAACTGTACATAGTAATATATCAATATTTCTATTTCTATTCCTAATTCAAGCACAGTTTAAGCAGTTCAAAATTTATTGTAAAGAAAAAGCTGCCTTATCCTTATCCTTTACTTATCCTCTAGGAATGTTCACAAATGAGATTGTGATTAGATGTATTTTAGTAATTTCTTCATTAGAATTAAGAACATAGAATTCATTGATTTCTGTACAAACGTGTAAAGCTATGTTTATTCAAATGAGTTCGTAAACCAGCATTATCGGACTATGGGAACGGGGATTTATGAAGGGGTTTTGTGGAATAAAAATTGGTTTTCCCATTTTAGATCTTGAAAACATAAAATTTTACAATTTCTTTCCAAACCATTTGTAGAGCTTAAAAAAGAAATAACTTAGTATATTGAAGCGTTTTTGTATGCCTAACGTTTATGGAGAAAATTCATAAAATTGTAAATTAAAAATTCCAATGTGAGAATCTATATATTTAATACGCTAGACATATTTTTGTCATAATTGTTTTGGAGTGGTGGTGCTACCGATCACCATGTCCAAGGTGTCGTTAGAAAGGTCTTAGCATGTAGTTTTGCCATCAAACAAAATAACTTTGGAATTCCATCAGGGCTCTGCCCCAGTAGCCTTCAAAGTTCCCATGTTATTCTTAGGGAGAAACTGTTTGTTTACATTTGAACAGATGAATACTTTGAAATTGACAATAATATTTTAAACAGCTGGATATACTAAAATTTTGCACAAAATCAAAACATAACAAAAAAAAACGTTTGACATAATGAAGACTAAGACGTTGACCAGGACAAGACGGCCAATAGGAGGAGGCCAACGAACTTTAACTGGTAGACACGAACGAAATACAAATAATACTATTGTCGTTGATAGCCGAATACAGCAAAAGCACCCTTCCGTGTTGGGTTTAAGTGTGCTCACTAACAGCCGCCTGAAGATTTCACATTCAATTTAGGACTGTTGGATAATCGCTGCATAAGCTGTTGATTTTGGAAGACAAGGAGGCGGGTAGGACTACATCGGAAACAGAAGAGAGGAGATATTAGATGAGTGGCAAATGCGTTGGGAGCAGAGTGTTTTTTGTTAACGTTTTAAGGTAAACGTTTGGATATATACCTAACATCAGATAGAGACTGGAACAAGATTGGGAGATGGACCATTATGAAACGCAGTTTGTAACAGAACATGGAAAATTTCATGGCGAATTTGTGAAGATTTCACATGGTGGAAGAGGAAGTATGTAGATGTGGAGAAATAAAAACCACGAGTCACGTATTTATAAATTGTTCACTTCAGGAGACAAATAGGAGAGAACAGGAATACGTCTTGGATAAGAGAGGTCTAGAGATGAGAAAATAAAACATGATGAGTGACAAGGAAACAATTGAGACTTTTATAAAAGTAGCTAGGGAAATAAGAGAAACCAGAAATACATACAGGTGTTAAAATAATAAAAAAAAAATTAAGAAAGAAAAGGAATGAAAACTTGCTCATGAAGGGGAGCAGAAAGGTTAGAGCGAATCTCAAGGATCCCTATCGCTCAGGACGGTATGGGGAAGGGAGTCATGCTGTTAGGCAGTTGGACGCATAATGTGTCTGGAACCTAATGCGGCTATGAGTAAGGCTATTTGTAGAAAACACTATACACAATAAATGTAGTGTAAAGATTATATCCATAATCTTTGAGTTTAATATTTTAAAGTCATCAGAAATAATGACTGTTATTCGTTTTAAAATAACGTCTGTAATACTTAGCAATTGCTCGAATTCGAGCAACAGGTACACTAGTAAATAATTAAATGTTGTAGTTTGCTTGATTAAGGATGCATTTTAATCACATTTGGCCAATTTGTTTATTTCATAATAATCTATCAGCGTTACAATAAAAAAACAAACCTCGTTACCTTCCCTGTAGTAGCAAACCTAAGTACTGATTAAAATAATGTTATTTTAGGAAATAGATCTGAAAATGTTAAGGGAATATTTTAGTGTTGATTTCCTATCCCCGTTATAACGCAATAACCTTTCTCCTTAAACAAGACATTGACATCATTATACTGCAAAAATAAGCTGATTACAAATCAAAAAAGTAATATAACAACAAAAAACATTTATTTTTACATTCAGTTTTTTTTTCTTTTGTAATGGTTTGATTATTTGTTTGTCAGACCATAATGGGCATGTACTTGAGATGAATATTACCCTTGATCATGACAAAAAAAATCATAGAAAAACTTGTAGAAATCTTGGCCAGGAAAACGTCAATTTGTTTAGATCAAATCTGAAAGATGGAATTGGATGGAAATTTACATGTCTCCTGTTGAATATAAGTATACCCTAAGTTTCATCAGAATTTGTTTATCGTTTTAATGAGTGCTTTCCACAAATTACTGTTAAAACAGGCTCCAAAAAGAATTGCTGGATGAATACTAGGTTGGGAGAAGAGAAGGAAACTATTGTTGGGCTAAGTAAGTGTGCAAGAAATAAAGACAAAGAATGCAAAGAGTCAAATTCGTCAAAGAAAATATAAATTTGATATTTTTAAAATAAAAAAAGAATATTATAACAAAAATATTTTACGGTCATCAAACATTCCAAAAACAACATGGTCAATACTATTAACAAACTGGAAAATATTTCATTAAAAGTTGATAATAAAATAATTAACAAGCCAAAAGAATAACAAATATTTTAACTGATTTTTTTACAAAATCTTCAACGTTACATAAAAAAGTTTGTAATACGACATTGGGCACCTCTTAAAAAAATATATGGCATACAAAATTGTATTTCAAACCAGTACGGTAACTAAAACCGAAATAATAACTAACTATTATACAATCTTCACAAAATAAAACAACATCTGGCTATGATGATTTATCAGTTAAATTTTAAAAGATGTGAAAGAGGATATTAAAAATTCATTTTAATGCATCTAAATAAATCATTATTTGTAACAGGAATTTTTCCAAATGAGCTTAAAATTGCTAGAGTGGTACCCGTTCATAAGAAACACTCTAGGGAAGATATTTCAAACTACAGTGTCAATTCTCCCGGCAATTTCAAAGGTACATGAGAAGGCAGTTTACAACAGGTTGAACAGTTTCTTAAACAACTATGATCTATAAGTACAACTGCTGTAGTTTGTTTAACTAAACTTGGCATATTTATTTTTGGATACTAAGCTATTAATATTTTACTAAAAACACAATTGATTACCCTAACCCTCCCTGTAGCAGCAATCCTGGTTACTTGTGAAACCTAATGCCATTTAAATAGATTTAATTGAAAATCCAATCAGGTAAATGGGAATTCGGTTAGTCTGCAGGTTGGCGGGGGTATTTATTTACCTTGTGGGGAGACTGGAATGGGACTGCCTCCTCCTGATATCTGGCTCGATTGTCTTCTGAAACAGTGAAAAACATCAATTAAAACAAATATTTAGCCTTAGGAATGAATATACTTAGTTATACTGTTTTGAAACTCTCTCCTGAAACTCTGTGGGCATGTTCCTTAGGTCAAAACAAACCAAAAATAACATGTAAACCTATAATCTATCTCGCTTCGTTTTCCGTCTTTCAGTGTGTATGTATTTTTTACATATCTTCCCATAACTTTAAAACGGTGCATACTTCAAACTTGGCACGTGTGTATGATGACTAATAGGAACTATTTTTTCGCAAAGCATCAAGATCTACTTTGTATAATTTCAAAATGGCGGCCATTTTAATTTTTCAAAGCCTAATAACTAAAAAACCATAGGATTTATAAAAAGGTTACAAATGACAAAAAGGATGGAAATTTAATTCCCTTTACATAAATGTATAGTTTGTATAGGTTTACAATACTGGTAACGGAGGAAATTCCATTTTTATAAAGGTAATACCTGCTAATTTATTTAATTTGCCCAATTTTTTTTTGTTTTAACTTCAGAAAATTTAATTTTTCTCCCTTATTTGTGTTATGACCCTATACAAATTGAACATTTCTGTAAACGGAATTAATTTCGCATCCTTTTTGTCATTTGTAACCTTTTTCTAAATCCTATTATTTATTAGTTGTTAAGCTTTGAAAAATTTTAATGGCCGCCAAATTGAAATTATACAAAGTAGAAACTTGTTGCTTTCCAAAAGAATAGTTTCTATTAGTCATCATACATATAACAAGTTTGAAGCTGGTACCTCCGCTGTTGGTGAGTTGCGGCCCAAACCTCATTTTGCGTATGAGTTGCGGCCCAGACTGAAAAAGGTTTTGTACGAGTTGTGGCCCGAGTATAAACAGGTTAATTGCGGCCATTAAGGTTAGTTGGTTTAATGCCAATGGTACATAAAATAATCGTACATAATTTAAGAAATCAGTATATTGTGTTAGTTAGGTTTGCACTCCATTGTTATACAACTACTGTCCATGCAACTACCTAATTTGGGTTCAAAAAAGGGAGTCCAAAAAACATTTTAAACAATCATTTTTTTTGTATTTTGAGTTGTACTCAAAGGTTTGCACTAATTTCTGAATTCTACTCCAACAACTCAGACACAGATGCAACCCCGAGTTAAAGCACTATGCCATACTTCCTCGACTGCTTTCGAAAGACTTACACTTTTTATCACATCATGGCCATCGCTGAACATCGTTCTTCAATGTTCTACGGGCGGCTTTGACTTCTCACTAATAATAAACTCCATAAGAATGGATTTAGAACATTCGCCAAGCACAGGAGTGGAGGAACTGATAGAGATATACATTCATGTAGGTTTTATACCTGTTTCTACTTGGGCCGCAACTCGTACCACAGAAAACGTACTACATCGTACGTTGGTCGGGCCGCAACTAATCTGTCTCTCTTGGAGAGATTAGTTTCCCGGCCGCAACTCACCTTCAGCCGGTACCTTAAGTGGTTCCAAAGTTATGGGAAGTAATGTAAAACATACATACTCACCGACAGACTGAAAACGAAGCGAGATAGCATATGTGTTTGAATATTTTATGTTTGTTTTGGCCTAAGGAACATCACCACGGAGTTTCAGAAGAGTCTCGAGACACCCTGTACTACTGTATAGTTAGTTGACGAAAGTTTGATGGGTATTCATAACAATTATCAATTGATTGATCAATGTATTTTTTAGACACTGCAACTCTTAAACTATATTGAAAATTTAATAAACTAATTGATACTGTATAATAATAAATTAATAATTTAAAACTGCTTGGTCAATAATTTACTTTTTCAGTTAAATTTAAAAGGAAATTACAACAATGTTTCGCTCGATTGACAATGAATTGAGATTAAACTATTTTAACTATCAGAGGAAACACAGATAATATATTGTTATTTTCTTTGACAAACATTATGACGTAATATATGTATATTAACATGTACCTACTGTAAAACAAGCAAGTAATTTTCTGCAAATCGTTTTCTTCACATGGATAACACGGGGAGTAAAAGTGATCTTAAAATTGTTGATATATTGGCCAGTGAAGTATAAACGGCTGTATACGCGCGTGTGCACTTTTGAATTCACTGTGTTTTTGGCTCCTCGGAAAAGGAAAACGAAGAAAAGTAAATTAATTCGAATTCTAGGGTTTGCCAGGGAGACTAAAATATAATAAGCACTAAAATATAATTTTCTAATCTCGTGTTAAGAACAGTTACCCCTAACACCTGAACAAAACATCAACTTGTTTTGAGACTATTGATCTGGTGTCTGTTAAGGCAACGTCATTAATTATGCAAAGTGTAGAAACATGGCCTCAGCTAACATGTGATTGAAAACTAATGAATATTGTAGTCCGTAGTGGTCAGTGTTATTCGCTAAACGCTCTTTGTCTTTATTCCACAGGGTGTCCCCAAACAACCAGTACCGCTTTTGTGGGATTGTTCCTTGCATAGGGACAAACAGATTTTGCACTATAATCATGGGTCTCCCATGCCTATTTTTCCGTCTATGTTTGTATGTGTTTTTTAAACATTTTCTTATAACTTCTTATTAACGCTTAACTTGGAATCTTTTAATTTTGGCACGGACAAGTAAAACTAGGTTACAATGAATATACAAAGAAATTACTTTTGTATTTTACAAACATTTCAAAAAAGGCGGCTATTTAAAAGTTTAAATCTTTAATATCTCTAAATCGATGAATTTTATCGAAAAATTAAATCCTTTAACTAGCCTAACAAAATCGGCTGAAAAAAATCAAAGTTGTGACACTTTTTACCACCTATTTTGATTAAAAATACTAATCAACATATAACTACTACTTAAAAACGTAGTACAACCTAAAAACGTGTTGTAGTGTTTGAAAGACTAAATATTTTATATGCTTTATAGTAACTGTAGGAAAAAATATATTTTGTAACGTGAGGGCCACTTCGCACATTAGCTACACAAATAACTATTTTTCTACCACCGCAAGAAAATAAGCATTTTGTGTACTGTATAAGCGTAGCAGTGTGATAATTTCCATGTAATGGTAGCATAATATCTATTTCGCTACACTACTGTGAAATGAAATGTTTTCGTTGCACTTTATCAGTTGCGAAAATCAATCATTTCATTATTTACGACGGCAAAAGAATGTTTACTATGCGAAAGTAATGTTTATTATCTTTTTTGGATTTTGTTCTGTAAATAAACAAAATATTTTTTATTTGTAGTGTAGTAAAAAGTAACGTTCAACACACGAGTGTGAGTGTGTCTATACATATTCTCGATCAATCTCGCACTTCAAACATGGTCTCAAATATGTAATGACTCACTTTCTACTGTTGTTATGAAATATACTATTCATTGTTCAAACAATGCTATTTATCAGCTTATTTATTAGTAAAAAGAAATGGACAAGTGACAGCTGATTAGCATACATAAGTCCACATAATGAAACATTTTACATGTTTTATAATTTGTTATAGGCCTAATTAAAACATTGGGTGATAGAAATTCAAAACTTTGTTATTTTTTCCTGTTTTGTTAAATAAGGTGTCATTAGATTTGTTTTTTATTTAGTAACTTGTATTAGTTTTTGTGTTTTTCGATATAGTTCTTCGTTTTCGGGTTTGTAGCATATTCTAAGCAATATATGCTAGTTAAGTTATCAGCGGTTATTCTTACTCCTTCATAAGGACTTTTCGTATCTTACTTTGTAAGGATTAGGAATATTAATAACATGTCAGAAAAACAAGTCATTGTTATTATGTCTGAGGGCATGTAATTTCACAGTATAATAAAATAATGATATTAATTATAACTGTGGTAATGGCGAATAAGAAGGAAAGGAAATAAAACTGTACCTATTATACAGTCATTTTAACTACGATAATTTAATAAATAAACAAACCAATAAAACAAATTAACCTTCAGATTGAGAAATTAGAAAACGCAGTGAAAGACATATTGAAACTATCCCCCCACCAAGTTGGCGGTACTAAACATAACACGTACATTTGAGATTTTCTCACACGTCGTGAATATACGTATCTTCTTTGCCTAAATGTGTTTTTGGTTTTTACCGACTGTAAATGCCTAATTGTAATGAACCGTGTAGTGGCCAAACAGTCATCAATTAAAATCAGACCACCATTTAGTTTTGAAAATGATTCCTCATTTGTCGTTTCATTTAATTTGTATAGTTCATATTCAAAATTGTAGGAAACATGTTCGTTCAAGTATTTTATAAATTAGGAACCTGGCCGACAAGTTTTGTTAACTTGAGACCAAGCTGTTGGAATACAGTACCACTAATAAACATATTTTAATTTTTAATTTGAAATGCAAACCATTTGGATTATTACCTTTAGATATTGGTTATTCCAATTCACTGATTGACACTGGTTACTAAAACTCGCACACTGCTGTGAGACGCGACGCAATACGCGAGAGACTGAGGACCGAGAGACTGTGACGAGTGTACAGAGGAACTGCACGAGAAGGTCGGTCAGATCTGGGACGGAGTGTACGTATATGGCAAGTGTTGACATTGAACATGAACATGGCCGCTGTCATAGACACTGAACATGTGGCAAACACTCCACTGCTCCAAACATGCAGTAAATCCCAGTTTATATATTTGGTCAATTAGAACAATTTTCTGTTGACACATGCCGTATCATGAATCTGCATAGAAATCCTTGACGACGGTGGCAATCTTTTAAGGGCAATTAAGGATATTGTATTAGGGCTTATAAAACATACGGTTATATGTTAGTCTATGGTTTTATTTTTTTATTTTTTTGGTGTGATGATCTAAGGATAGTGCACACTTCAGAGCATCACCTTTATTCTGTGATATTACTAAAAAAAATACTTTTATTAACATCTTGACGGTGTGACATAAGATTGCACTATCGATGCGGCTCTATATTTTATACTGGTAATGTAGTTATACTTAATATCGTATACTGGTGAT